ACATTTCATAATGTTTTACCTTGCTTTATATGTATTTAACCAGTAGGGCACTGACCTTTCTCGTCACAACTTGACCGAGGTTAGGCTTGGTACTTACTTGGTACCGCTGTGGTGTACTCATGCCCTTTCCTGCACATGTTTTTCGTGTGCAGATCCAGGTTCTTCTGATCAGTCATTCTATTAGTGATGCGGGCGATATCAAAGATTTCGAGGTATATCTGTCGTGTCCGCAAACCTAGAAGTCCCTCTCTATTCTTCCCTTTAGTTTTAGACTTCCTGTATTTTTCTTTTGATTAGACATTATGGAGTTAGAACACTGTTTAGTTTCTATATCTTGTGATTTCATGAAATTTCGGGTTTTGGGAGTTTTGATTCAGTTTTTGAGAATGTATATTGTATATGTCGAGCGGCATTTTTGAACTCTTTTATCATATTTTACCAGCAACTTGCTAGTTTCGTATTTCATTTCCATTTTCCGTAATTTGTTAGGCTTACCTAGTCGTAGAGATTTGGTGTCGTCACGACAGTTCACAAAGGGAGAACTTTGGTTGTGACAATTTGAGACCCCAAGTAAGTTCGTATTATGTTATGGGACTGGTTGGTATAATTGGACGAGGTCCTGAGTGGCTCAGATGTGTTTTGGACGTGTTTCGGAACATTTTTGTAAAAATATGCAGGCCTAGTTCTGGTGTTTCACATATGTGAAGAAGGAGTTGCAAGTGCACAGCCACTTCTGCGAGAAGCTGATCGCTTCTTCGACCTGGGTACTGGCCAGCTTCTTCGCTTCTGTGAAGAACTGAAGTGCAGATGCGCGACCGCTTGTCGAAGGTCCAAGCGCTTCTGCGGAAGAAACCGTTTTTGCGGTTGTTTGATCGCTTCTGCGATGTCATAGGTGCGACGTTGAAGTCCACAGGTGCGGAATTTCGTCTGGCAGCCTCACTCAGAAAATGCGAGCTCGCAGGTGAAATATTAAGTTCGCATATGCGAAAGTGCTTGGCAGAATACATAAAAATCGGGAGTTAGCCATTTTGACTCATTTTTGAGTTTTGAGTCTCGGATTTGGGCGATTCCAAAGGTAATTTTTCATAATTTCGACTTGGGTAAGTATTCTATGACCAAAAGTGATTACATTTCATATATCCATGTCAATATTCATCGTTTATTTCGGATTTAAATGGAAGAAATTGGAATTTTTATAAAATCTTCCAAAAATATAAAATGAAGATTTGAAAGCCAATCCGATGTCAGAATTCGATAATTTTTGTATGGTTAAACTCGTATCGGACGGGTGCTCGGGTTTCGTAAGTTTTTTTGGGATTTGAGATGTGGGTTCCACTATCGATTTTTAAAATGAATTTCGGATTTTAATCCTGAAAATTAGTAAATTCATATGGAATCAATTCCTACGATTTGTATTGACTATATTGAATTGTTTATGACTAGATTTGAAGCTTTCAGACACTAATTCGCGAGGCAAGGGTGTATTGGAATCTTGAATTTGGATGCAAAGCGAGGTAAATGTCGTGGTTAACCTTGACTTGAGGGAATAGAACCCTTGAATTATTTGTTATATAAAATTCATGTGAACGACGTATAGGCGAGGTGATGAGTGTTCATACATCGTCAAATTAATTATTTGTATAATTATTTGAAATCATAAATTATTTTAAGGCATGAATTAATTATTATATTAATTGTTTCTCTCATATTCCTTGCTCAATACCATGCCTTAAATCCATACTATAATTATTACATGTTATTTGACTTGTGTGACTTAATTGCTACTTGACATTTAGTATATTAGAAAGTAAATTGCCTACTTTCTCCCTGATTTCCATAATTAATTGCTACTTGTCATTACTTGTTCCTAAATAATTTATAAATATTGTGTGCATTGTTGCCTAATAATTTCTCACGGAATGTGATATTTATTGGAGTATTTTTATTATTTTTAAGAGTTGTTAATTTATATTAGTGCAGCGGGTTGCATGCCGTAACGGAAATAAAAAATGAATATATTGGGAGATCGGGATGCACACCGCAACAGATTATATTTTAAGTTTATATTGTTGGAGTGAGTTGCACGCCACAACGGAAATTTATTGAAGAATTATATTGTTGGAAAGGAAATTGATTGAAATAATAATTGGTTATGACTGTCGACTTGGCTTCCACTGTTGGAATGAGTTACTTGTTTCTGTTCTATTACTATTATTACAATTATTATTGCATACATGTTAATGTAAGTGACATGTCTTAGTCTCGTCACTACTTCGTCGAGGTTATGGTGAGTTCATGGGTCAAAATAGCATTTGGGCTAGGTAACTCGGATTCTCTATTTGAATAATGATGTTCTGGCCCCCGAGTTGTAGTTCATGTTTAGTGAAAATCCCGTTAGGCCGTACTCCAGCCCTGATAATGGGACATGGTTTGTGGCAATGGTGGTGTTTTATACACTATTGGATGACCTTGCCTCGTTGCTTGATTGTTCAGTTGTTGGCCTCCTTGGTGTTGCTCGCATGTCCACACATTTCTCGCGTGGTTCCTTTGGTGCCTCCTGTAGTAACTGTTGGTGGGAAGTCTTGGCATCTTTTGTGAGTTCCTTGTGTTGTTTCTCTAGGTTTTCCTTTGCTTGGTTTACGATGTTGTTGCTAGGTAATATGGGTAAATAACATATGTTTTATTCTGCCCTTGTTCTATATTGCTTTCTAGTATATAAAGGACATAGTTGTTAGAGTCTAGAGAGTTGACATTCTCTAGGGAGTCGTTTTGATTTGTACTATATTTGTTTGGAATGATGTGAATTTTGGCTGCTAGAGGTATTTTGTCTTAGTGGTCTGAGTTTTGTTGTCATTAATTAATGAAGTTTTGACAACTTCTTGGATGTTGCAAGGGTCAACGTCTATTGTACCATTATCATTGCTAATTAAGGCAGAGGGTGGAGTGTTGCTATCCGTTGGGGTTCTTCGAATTAACAAGAGTTTGTGTTATTTGGTTTGTTGGTCCATTGGCTTTTTCTGGAAAGAGTGGATTTACGAAGGAATTTATGCTTCTAGGTCTTTAGTTATTGAAGGGAGGAATTAAGTGCATTGATGGTATGACTGTACTTGATGGCTTATTAATCCAGTGGACTCTTTGGATGGTTTGTTGATGTATGTGTTGCCTCTTCTAGGGTTTCTATTTTTTCATCCATCTCGTCCGTTATTGCATTTAATGCCATGAATTAATTGCCGTTGCTTTTGTTTGTAGAGATGCTATTATCCATTGGTTGTATCTTTGTATAGACTTTGTTGATGGTTTCAGTGTTTTTCCTTCTGACCTCTTGCCTTGGTTGAAGGTTTTGGCCGGATTTTGTGGCCTGAGTAGAGTCATGCATCGGAGCTTTCCCCTGCATTCTATAGTCTTCTTTTGGTTGTCTTTGTGGAGGGGTCTTTTGCCTTCCTATTTGTTCATCCCTTTTCTTAGTTTTCTTATGGGAGACGATGGTCCAGTGGTGTATCTCTTCTACTAGAGACTCAACTTCTTCATTCTTTTGGTGTTTATCAGTTTTCCCTTTTTCATTTGTTAGATTTGGGTTAGGGCAGTTTGTTTGGACATGGCCCAATCTACCACATTGTGAGCAAAGCATGTTAAATCTCTCGTAGGCGATCTTTTGATATTGTCTTCCTATAATAACATGTGTTTTAAGAGGTATTTCTATGCGCACTAGTATACATACTCACGCATATTTGCCCCTAGTGGTTGAGGCAATGCAAGCATTTATCTTTAACAACTTCCCTAGTTTTGTTCCTATTTTTTGGAGTATTTCGTAGTCGTAGAATTTTGTTGGTAATTCCGGTAATCTAACCCAGATGGCTAAGTATGTTTGTGAGGCTTCTGAGGCTATGAATTTTGGTTCCCATTTTCGGATAGTGAGGAATTGATTTCCAATGAACCATGGTCCTCCATGAAGGACTTTGTCGTAGTTTTCTAGGTTTGAAAACATTATTAGGTATTAGTCATGACCTAGGTATATTAGTGTAATATTTTCATTTGGTTTCCATATTACTATGATTTTGTTTTGTAGAAAGGAGTAACCTACTTTCCTGCCGAAGATTTTTAGAATAACAGTGTTTGTCCAATTTGATTAGAACCACCGATTAATATTGAGCAATTGAAATACTTGAAATATAATTAATTACTCATGATTAAGGTTATATTTCTTTCAGACAAATCACATTAATCTACTAGAGTAGAGTAGGAAACTCTTCTTGTTAGATCATTTGAGTTTTCCTATCAATACAAGTTATGAACTATCAAAATACCTAAAATCTAAATATATGTTTGATTGGAAATAACGATTGACTTTATCTGACTAATTTGACCGATAACAAGATATATCCACAATCATTGGGATCCCGTCTTGTTAGATTGTTTGATTCTTTTTATCAATACAAGCTCTAGAATATCGAAATACTTGAAATGTAATTATATATTTAACTGAAACTAACGATTGATTTTATTTGACTAATTTAATCAATAATAAAATATATACAATATCATACATAATTAAATACTCCCTCCGTTTCATATTATATGAGGTAGTTTGACTCGGCACGGATTTTAAGAAAAAAGAAGAAGACTTTTGAAACTTGTAGTCTTAAAAGCTTAAGGGGTAAAAAGTTTGTGGGGCTATGATATTTGTGTGGCTATAAAAGCTTCTCATTAAGGGTAAATGGATAAAACGAAAGAGTTTAAAGTTGAATTATTTTCAAATTCAAAAATGTATCATTTGTTTTGGAACAGACTAAAAAGGAAAGTATCTCACTTAATATGAAACCGAGGGAGTAATGTTTAAGGTTATATGATTTTGGGGTTTAGGGTTTGGAGTTTGATTAATAATTATATTTCTATTAAAATTAAAAAAAATCCAAATTTAAATGATAAAAGTAAATGGTACAGATATCATTTAATGCAATATTTTACTATCCCACGAAAAGTGGCGTACAAAGTGAATTATCTTGTCCAAAAAGTCAATTATCATCATAAACTCCATCCATCACAATACCTTTTTCCTTATTTAATGATTTTTTTGTCCAAAAAGTCTATTGTCATCATAAACTTCCCATCAGAATATATTTTTTCTCATATTTTTTTCTTGCCCAAGAACGTAGACAAAGAAGCCATTCTCTCACTCTCTCTGCTTCATCTCGACTTTCTGTGAATCCATAGCCGGAAAAATTCAGAATTTTTCTTCACCCAATATCTCTTAAAATGGCTTCCTCAACAGCTGTGAAACAAAAAGGAAAAGGCATTTCAAGACCAACAAAAAGTGTTGCATCAGAATTTGATGACAAGCCCTTATGGTATCATGTTAAAGTTCTTTTAGTTCCTCCTAATGGTGGTGGAAAGAAAGTGTGGCCTTCTAATTTTTTAATTCTAAGTTCTAACTTCTAAAGTATGTTTCATTTCTTTTGTATCTCTAAATCTCTTTATAACTTTTATTTGTTACTATATTTTAACAAGTTTATAATAACTTATTTTAATACTTTGTTGTGCGAGTTGTGGGAAAATTAGTGAATCATGCCATTTTGCAGAGTGTCTACATGCCTGCCTACAACTTGAAAACTAAATGACCCAGTTACTACCCTCTAATAATTACGCATATCTCCCCACAAGTTACAGCGTAAGTTTTCCATATAATCTCTCATAATTATGCATATCTCTATAGCTATATTTCTAGATTTTTAATTTATTTCCCCGTACCCGTACTCCTCGAATCCTAAAATTTAGAACATGAAGGATCCGACTTTTGGATTCGCACCCGCACTCGAGTGTGAGTAACTTAGCGTATGATTGCTTTGGCAAAGTGTGCTTCACATACTGCATTATGATGGGTAAAATTCTTTTAACGTATCTAAGTTTAATCCTTACAGATATAAAAAAGGATGGTTGTTAGAGATGTCTTACCTTGTACCACTTCCTTTCGCGTTGCAACGGTAACGCAGTACAAGGGATGCGCGGCAGGACGCATTCTGGATAGTTTTGTCCTATTATCCAGTAATAGACGGCTGTTTGCCTATGCTCTAGAGCCAAAAGCAAGATATTCTTCCCGTCAGAATCCGTATCTTGAATGGCTATTGGGTACTGTTTAAGGATCTCCTTCACCATCTCCACGATACCCAGCTTTGATGCCACTAATAGGGGTGTCGCCTTGGTCTTCGACAACTCTGTATTTAGAACTATAGTTACTCTAGTTGCTTTTAGGGAACATATAGCTTCAAAGAAAATTGATCCTAACTTGGAATATTAGAACAAAATTTACAGCATTTTGACGTGATAGATTTTGAGTTTTTAAAATTGCAGAATCTTGATGACACAGAACTAAAGTTTTCAGTGCCACACAGCAGGTATGACCAGAAAGAGACAAGAGATTCTTTACCAGACTTGATCTGTGCAATGTTACTAGGTTCTTCTGCTTTTCTTAAATAAATATCTGTTAGAGGAGGTGCTGGTGGAGGTTTTCCAATTTGCTTATAGATTCCTTGATCATAGAGGTCTTTATCTTCAGGCTTCTCCCCGGTATTTGCATAGAATTTGTAACTACTGTCTTTCTCAACCATCAACTTCATAATTTTAACTGCCCATTGATGGTGCTTCTTCTTTTCCTCTAATTTCTTTGTCCTTTGGAGTCCTGCGCAACAAGATTTGAGACCTTATGACATGATGTGGAAAGAAAAGAACATAAAAGAAAAGGCAAACTTGTTAAAGTTTCATAAAAAAAATAATTAAAATGTGATAAAGAATGGGATTGCTGAAGAATCATTTTCAAGGGTCTAGGTCTTGTACCCAAGGTTAGTGGTCAATGAAGTGGTTTAAGAATCATGAGGTCTCAGGTTCAATTCCCTGTGGAGGCAAAAAATACTAAGTGATTTCTTTCCATCTGTCCAAGTCTTGGTAGATAGAATTACCTGGTATTTGTTGCTGG